CCCCGCGGGGGGTGATTTCTCACTTTCCCTCTCTCTGTCTTTCTCCATTAAGCACACATGCCTGAGGGCAAAAAAAAAAAAAACTTAAAAAAAAATGCAGCCCCAGACAACATCTGATCAATGGGTGACTGTGTTCCAATGAGATTTCTGTATCAGGTCGTCGGGAAAGTCATGACGTATTTCTCTGTTTTTCTATGCAAAAATGCATCATGACTTTCCCGACAACCCAGTACAAAAACACATGACAGCATAGTGGTTAAGGTGGCTGGATCCCACGTGGCCAACTGTGCGTTCAAGTCCCAAAACCAGTGGCTTGAAACACACTCCAGGCTGTGTGTCAAAAATCCCCAAAGGACAGAGAAATGGAGGAGTGTGATGTGACCATCCCCCATGGTGGATGCTTCTTCACTTCCCCTCAATTTTTCTCACTCTCCAGTGAACGCACACACCCTCTGGCAAAATTAAAAGAAAAACAGGAGCCGGCAGGTGGTGTGGTGGTTAAGGGTGCTGGACTCTCATGGCCAACCATGGTTCGAGTCCCAGATCTGGCAGCTTGTTTTCTCCCTTTCTCTCTCTCTCTCGTCAAATTAAAATAAGTAAATAAATAAAGTTAAATAAAATAATTCTTAAAAAAAAAAATAAAGAAACCAAAACAAGTGGTATGAGGTTCAGAAACACCTGGCCACTTGTTTGTCATATGACCCTGAGCCGGCTGCACCAATTTCTCAGAGCTTGAGTCATCTCTAAACAGGCAATAGCACCTTCCCAACAGATTCGAAGCATGAAGGGAGATATATAAAGGGCTGGCAGGACGCTGGTCACATAATGTGACTTTGGTAAATAGTAGATTTTTTTTCTTTTTGGAGGAAACAAATAAATAAACTTAAAAAGAAATGAAAAGTCTTCCCTAAAGTTTATAGGGAAGCTTTATGAAGGAATGAATGAATAATCGCTTATGAATATTCATTCATAGCTAAATGAATCTACTTTATGGGAAGAAACATTTTCATTTACCAACACTGGCTTTCAGAAACTTATTTCCGATTCTCTGGTCCATGCCGATGGCTGTTGCCACCTCCTCTACGTCAGCTCCTGTGGCTTCGCACAGGGCGCTTATGGAGTTGATGCTGCTGATTCTCTGGGCCAGGAAAGCATTGGCTGCCTTTGGGGGGGAAGAAAGGGTGATGGGGAGAGAAAGCGTGATGAGCTAAATCAGCAATTTCATACATCTGGGTTATATACCACGAGTTGATATGAAACACTAAAAGAGATATAAAAGCTCGATCGATAAGAAATATATACATATGGATGCACACACATATATACATACACACACACACATTGAACTTTCCTAGTGTACATGCGCTCAACAAATAGAAAGAGTGAGCGAGAGAGAGAAAGCACCTTCGCAGTGGGCCGTGGTCATGCCACAATCCCTTCTCCTCCATTTCCCCATCCTGTTGGAATTTGGGGTGCGCGCGCACGCACACACACACACACACACACACACATGCCAGCATGTTTTTTAAGCTGCTTGGGCTAGAATTTGAAACATGTGAGGTCCAGGTTCTGTTTTTTTGTTGTTGTTGTTTGTTTTTTAAATAATTATTCTATTAAACTTTATTTATTAATTATTTATTTATTTTAATTTGACCAGAGAGGGAAAGTGAAGGGGAGAGAGAAGAGGCAAAGTGAGAAAGCAAACCGCCAGGTCTGGGACTCGAACCACAGTCGGCCATGTGGGAATCCAGCGCCCATAACCACCACGCCACCTGTCAGCTCCGAGATCCAATTTCCTTAACCAGCAGGTTAGAGAGCTTGCCCAAGATAGATCATTGAGAAACAAGTACTAAAGGACTGGGGGTGGGCCAGCCAGGTGGCATGGGGATTAAGGCAGCTGGATTCTATACAACTGCACAGTTTGAGTCCTGGACCCTGCAGCTTGAAAAACACGCCAGGCACATGTATATGCATGCCCAAAATCCTGAGAGGAGAATGGAAGAGATGGGATAGCAGTGTGGTCATCTCCCCGGGGGTATTTTCTCACTTTCCCACTCTCTCTCCCTGTCTCTAGCTCTTGCCAGTGAATACCTGTGCCCTATAGCAAATAAAATAAATAACCAAATAGAAAGAGTGATAAAAATTATTATTTTTTCTTAAGAGAGATATTTGCTATAGGGTACATGCGCTTGCTGGAAAGAGAGAGAAAGTGAGAAATTAACCCTCATGGGGAGGGCCATCCCTTCTCCTTCATTTTCCTCTCGGGACTTTGGGCTCATATTCACATGCACTCAGCATGAGTTTCAAGCTGCCAGATCTGGGACTTGAACTGCGGTCGACTACATGAGACTCCAGCAATGTAACCACTACGCCATCTGCTGGTCTTAAAAATTAGTATTTTAATGTACCCTCCATGTTATCTCACATTTATAAAAAATTTTAGAATATTCCTAAATATTTTATACCCTGATACTTGCTTCCTCTTGTGAAAATTATTTCATAATTTGAATGTGCAAGAGTATTATATTCAAAAGCATAACCTTGCATTAGTGTTTTTAAATTATCTGTGTAGCTTATCAAGTTTAAGTGAAATGGGGGCTGGCAAGTAGCATTGTGGTTAAGGGTGATGGACTCCCACATGGTTGACCGTGGTTTGAGTCCCAGACCTGGTGGCTTGCTTTCTCACTTTCCATCTCTCTCTGTCTCTCACTCTGTCTCTCTCCGGTCAAATTGAAAAAATATATAAACAAGGACCAGCAGTTGGCATAATGGTTATATAGCTGGACTCCCATGTAACCGACCATGGTTCGAGTCCTGGACCCGGTGGCTTAAACTCACGCCGGGCGCGTGTGCGTGCGTGCCCAAGATCCCGAGAGGAGAATGGAGAAGAAGGGACTGTGTCATGGCCATCCCCCCTGGAGGGTGATTTCTCACTTTCTGTCTCTCTGTCTCTTTCTGGCGAGCGCACGTGCCCTATAGCAAAAACCTCTCAAAAAAAAAACTAAATAAAGGAAAGTTGAATGCTGTGTACGAACCAGTTTGGAAAGCTCCGAGGACCACGTATTCGTGGTGAGGATCCGTTCTCTAGGAACCCAGTGCTCGTACACAGCACACAGTGCCTGCACTGCTCTCTGGCCCTCTGGGGTCTCGTCTCCTCCAATCAGGACTCTGTCTGGGTTCTTCAGGTCCTTGATGGCTGTTCCCTCTGCCAAGAACTCAGGGTTGGACAGTACCTAGAATCCCAGCGCAAAGGAACGTTAAAGAAAGGACTAAGTTTCCGTAACTTTAAGGCATCAATATTTACATAAGAACCGGTTTCTAATGCTTTGTTTCTTTATACCTGTAAATTCAAGTTGGGTTTTGTGTTTGCATCAAATATGCGCCGAATACTTTCTGCTGCTCGCACTGGGACTGTGCTTTTCTCGGTCACAATTTTGTATCCATTGGAGTTTTGCACGATGCGTCTAGCACAAGCTTCAATGTACTTCAGATCTGCTGCCCGGCCTTTCCCCATTCCATAGGTTTTTGTTGGAGTGTTCACCTGATGAAATATATGAGACAGAAAACAGGGTAACTACGATTCAATTCAGAGATTTCAAGATAGACCCTGGGTTATCGGGGACGTTAACTACCATCAATAGCTCTATTAATTTCATGGCAATAATACATTTTATAAATATAACCGTCAGAAAAAAACGGCTTGAAGCTTATGGAGAAATCATGTGCTGATTTTCTGTTGAGAAGCTACTACGTATATACTAGATACAAAGGCAGGTTCTAAGGTCCGCCCTGGAGATATAGAGGAATGAGATGCCTTTCACTCTGAAGGAGTTCAGTCTGAAATGAAGGGTAGGTTCTCTCTTCTTTTCTTATTTACTTATATAATACATCAACATGGTCTTTAAAAATAAACTTTAAATTCCACGTTTTTATAGCTCTATTATCAACAACTTTAAAAAATATTTACAGTATGGCTCCAGCGGGTGGTGTAATAGTGACATTGCTGGACTTCCACGCAGTCAACCACACGCAGTTAACCACACGCAGTTCAAGTCTTGGACCTGGCAGCTTAAAACTCACGCCATGGGGACCAGCAGTTAGCGTATGTCGCTGGACTCCCACGTAGTCGACCGTGGTTCAAGTCCCGGACCCGGTGGGTTAAACTCACGCTGGGCGCGTGTGCGTGCATGCCCAAGATCCCAAGAGGAGAATGGAGGAGAAGGGATTGCGGCGTGACCATCCCCCCTGGGGGGGTGATTTCTCGCTTTTTATCTCTCTGTCTTTCTCTGTCTGTCTGGCGAGCACACGTATCCTATAGCAAAAACCTCTAAAAAAAACTCGCGCCATATGTATGCATGCCCAAAATCCTGAGTGGAGAATGAAGGAGAAGAAACTGCAACATGGCCATCTCCCGGGGTGTGATTTCTCGCGTTCTGTCTCTCTGTCTCTTCAGTGAGCACACACACCCTGTAGCAAAAATCTCTCTAAAAACAGAAAAAAAGGAGTATAGCATAGGGACCAGCAGATGGCATAATTGGTATGTTGCTGGATTCCCATATAGTCGTCCATGGTTTGAGTCCTGGACCTGGTGGCTTAAACTCACGCCGGGCGCATGTGCGTGCATGCCCAAGATCCCGAGAGGAGAATGGAGGAGAAGGGATTGTGGTGTGTGGCCATCCCCCCTGGGGGTGATTTCTCGCTTTCTGTCTCTCTGTCTCTGTCCTTCTAGTGAGCGCACACACCCTATAGCACAAACCTCTCACTCATAAATAATTAATAAATAAATAGAATAAAATGGCTGCCTGGGGGAGCCGTGCACTGAATGTTGGTGCAGGGATAAAACTGAAGCCCTGTAAGCCTGACCTATAGCACATGGGAAGGTTCTGAGCAGGTCCAGAGAGGAGAGCCCAACCGGAATGAGCCAGGCTGGCTGAAGCTAGGGGTGGGTTGTGATGCCCACACCCTAGTGAGGATCTACTGGGTCATCGGGAAAATTGCGACACATTTTTGCATAGAAACACAGAAAATTATGTCATGATTTTCCCAACAACCTAATATCTGTCTGCCTGTCTCCTCTCTCTCTTGCATGCATGTAGAAGAAATAAATAAAGTTAATATTAAAATGGCTTTTGGAACATAATTCATTTACACAGGCGTTGTGTATAAGTTTCCAAACTGATTCTCTTTACCTTACCTCTGCCGACCGGTGGAAATGATGAAATACATGGTTCAATATCTAGTTTCCACACGTGCTCACATGCTACCAGCATTTCCTAGTCCTAGATCTCAGATTAAAATTTTTTTCTTAGTTTATCTGTTTGATGATTTAGAATGATACATTTGTGGGGGCCAGCAGGTGGTGTGGTGGTTAGGGGTGCTAGATTTCCACACGGCTGACCACAGTTCAAGTCCTAGACGTGGTGGCTTGCTTTCTCTCTCTCTCTTCTGACCACAGTTGAAGTCCTAGACGTGGTGGCTTGCTTTCTCTCTCTCTCTTCTGACCACAGTTGAAGTCCTAGACCTGGTGGCTTGCTTTCTCTCTCTTTCTGTGTGTGTGTGTCTGTGTGTGTGTGTGTGTGTGTGTGTCTCCATCTGGTCAAATTGAAAATAACTATAATGATAAATAAAATAATTTTTTAAAAAATGATACAATTGTGGGCCTAGCAGGTGGCACAGTGGTTCAGGGGCTGGATTTCCACGTGGTTGCCAGCACTTTGAGTTTCAGAACTAGCAGCTTGAAAATCATGACAAACACAAACAAACAGATAAATAAATCAATGTTCTTAGTAAATAAATAAAATGATAAATGTGATTAGTACAGAGTTTGGTGAACTGCTGGACAAAGCAACAACCAAAACTCACCTGGAAACACTATACTAAGCCATGCTGTGGCCAATACCAATAAATTTACCATCAAAAGGACAAAGAAACTTTTATATAAGCAAAACAATAAACTTCACAGAGCAAAAGACAATACTTACAGAAATAAATACAAGATCGGCTTCTTTGATGGCATCGTCAATATTAGTAGAAAAGAACAGATTTCTTCCTCGACAGGATTCGACCACCTCTTTTAGGCCTGGCTGGAAAGAAAAATAGAGTTGTACATTCTGTTTACCAGTGACATGAGGTAAGCTAAGAATACAGAATTACATTTGTTAAAGGGGAAGTACGTTCTGATTTAAAGGTCCAAAGAAGCCCTGTATGTATGGGACCAGCAGATGGCACAATGGTAACAGCACTGGCTTCCCATGCAGTCGACCTCGGTTTGGGTCCCAGACCCAGCAGCTTAACACTCCTGCCGGGGACGTGTGCATGAGTACCCAAGATCCCGAGAAGAGAATGGAGGAGAAGGGATTATGGTGTGGCCATCCCCCCAGGGGGTGATTTCTCGCTATCTTTCTCTGTCTCTCTCTGTATTTCCGGCATGCACACACACCCTATAGCAAAAACCTCTCTAAATAAATAAATAAATCACCCCTGCGTAGAAAAGTCAAGGATCATATACCAAAGGCCATGACTACTCATTACACAATACGACGACATAAAACAGAGCTGAACTAGCCACAATCGGGGCAGCAGGACGCATTAATGCTTTGTCACTGTTTACCCTGTGCCCAGCTGTTCCCAAAGAGTTAACTATTAACTCTGAGTATCAACGCACAAATCAGAAAACCCCAGGCCCTCTGTGACTGCAAGCAAACTTCTGATTCTGCACTCTCATTATGAGTGTGCATGTTTATTCACAATAACGGGCTGGACAGCTGGTTGTGAAAGTCAGTATTTGCCCTACGCACACATAAGTAAATATACATTGTTGTAAGTGCTTCGAATACCTTTTAATACTTTCCCCACAATTAACAGAAATATATTTATATTAAGAATACAGGGAACAGCAGATGGCGTAATGGCTACATCAGTGGACTCCCATGTAGTCGACTGCGGTTTGAATCCCAGACCCGGTGGCTTCAACTCACACAGAGGTGCGTGTATGTGCATGCCCAAGATCCCGAGAGGAGAATGGAGGAGAAGGGATTGCGGCGTGGCCATCCACCCTGGGGGATGATTTCTCGCTTTCTGTCTCTCTGTCTCTCTGGTGAGCGCAAACGCCGTATAGCAAAAACTTCTCAAAAAAAAAAAAATAGATAAATAAAAACAAAAACACCCCAAGGAGTATAGTGCCACTATACAAGCATACTTGCCCTAAATAAATACATAATCAAATCAAATCTGATCAGCCATGCTCTGGGTCTAATCACCAATTGGTATGAAATACAGGATAGAGAAAAATAAGTCTAAAAGGGGTAGGGGCGGGGGGACTCAATCCGCAAAATCCAGATGGAAATTGCTACGAGATAAAATTGTTTATCAACCAAGGAACTGAAGAAAAAAAGTGAGAAACAGAGAAAGAGGAAAATAATGTACTGTGGACTTAAAAGACAAGTGATACCGATCTTTTACAATGTATGAATCTTACTTGAATCCTGACTGAAGCTAACTATGGGGGAAAGAGCATGTGTAAGAATTTCTTTTTTTTTTTAAATAAAGATGTTTGCTATAGGGCATGTACATTCACTGGAGAGACAGAGATAGAGAGAGAAAATGAGAAATCACCTTAATTACCACACCACCTGCCAGCCCAGGTTAGCTGATTTTTAACATGGTATAGAATTTTATAACAATACGATACCATAATTTCTGTGTCTACTTTACTTCTGATTACCTGGGCCCTATATCTTTTGCTGCATACACTTATGCCTTTCTGTTGGATACACACCTAGGAGTGAAACTACTGCACCAAAGGTTCTATGTATTCCAGCTTCATTAGAATCCTTCCAACAGTTTTGTAAAATGGTTACACTAATTTACATTCTCGCCAGTGGGTAACTGGAATAAAATTCCATTTACTCTATACCCTCGTCAATATTTGGTACTGTAGGTAAAATTAATTTTAACCACTCTAATGGGTATCCTTAATTTTTTGTAATTTTTTTTTATTGCCAGATGGTGTATATGCTCACCAGAAAGAGAGAGAGGGAGAAAGCACCCCCCAAGGGGGTGTAGTCACACCACAATCCCTTCTCTTCCATTTCTCCATCCTGTTGGGATCTGGGGCTTGCACACACATGGGCTTGGCATTTTTTTTAAGGTGCCATAGCCCAGGATTTAGCTCACAGTTGCCATGTAGGATCTGGCTCCCTTAAAAACAAGGCTACATGGGCTGGCAGGTGGCGTGGTGGTTAAGGCGCTGGACTCACACATGAGCGACCACGGTTTAAGTCCCAGACCTGGCGGCTTGCTTTCTCTCTCTCTGTCTCCCTCTGATCAAGTTGAATAATAATGAATAAATAAAATTAAATAAATAATTCTTTAAAAACAAACAAACAACTAAGCTACAGGGCTGGCCCAAGTGTCCTTTATTTTTTTAAGACTAGAATATAATGCTGGCAGAATTAATTACTGAATGTATGGATATATGAATAGCTTACAAGGTTCCAGGTGACTTGTAACCCTTTACTAGTATGGTAACCATACTAACATATAAAATTAGAAAAGAGAAAACGATTATCCTGCCTTTCGCTGCACTAATACAGCCACTATTCTGATATATTTCCTTCTAGTCATTTTTCATGGGCATATTTGACATAAATGTAATGTTCATGGCCATAATATTTTAGACCCAGATTTTTCTCATTGAATTTATTAGTTCGGTCATAGATTTTTTTTTAATTACTTATTTTAAATTTTATTTACTCATTCATTTTTTAAAAAACTTTGACCAGAGAGACAGAGAGAGAGAGAGAAAGTGAGAAAGCAAGCCACTAGGTCTGAGACTCAAACTGTGGTCAGCCATGTGGGAGTGTCCAGCGCCTTAACTACCATGCCACCTGCTGGCCCCCATTATAGATTTTTACATTAACAGTGCGTATAAATTATTTAACAAAGATAGGAAGAAAACAAAGAGCATAAGAACAAGGCGCTGTTTAATATGTTTACCTCGTAAATGGGAAGCGTAGGGGAATTCCACGCGTTGATTCTGGATTCATTGACATCAACGACAGTCACCTTGATTTCAGGACACATGTGGGCAATGACACTACACGTGGGTCCTCCAACATAGCCCGCACCAATGCAACAGATCTTCTTAATTTCAAACATGATTGTACTAGAAGGGAGACAGCAAGACGATCTAGTTTTACCAACAGAAAATGGAAGAAAATCACATTGCACATTTTTTTTTTGGGGGGGGGAGAGATTTTCGCTATAGGGCACGTGCACTCGCCAGACAGAGAGACATAGAGACAGAAAACGAGAAATCACCCCCCAGAGGGGATGGTCACGCTGCAATCCCTTCTCCTCCATTCTCCTCTTGGGATCTTGGGCATGCACGCATGTGCGTGAGTTTTAAGCCAATGGGTCCAGGACGCGAACCGCGGTCGACTTCATGGGAGTCCAGCGACATAGCCATTACGCTAACTGCTGGTTCCCCACATTGCACATTTGAAACGTTCTATAAACCTACTCAAAAAAAATGTTTTCAAACGGGGGAATAATTAAGAAAATGACAAAAATCTGTTACTTATATAACTACATAGATAATTTCTGACATACTGCTTTTAGAACTCCAGGTTTATGAGAAAGAAAATGTCTAGAATTGGTGTTCTGTAAAAATCAGGCATAAACACTAATGGACAAATGTTACTTTTGCTTACTGCTTACAACAGCAGGCCTCTTAAGTAAATGTAATCTCTTGCCTTGGACTCAGAAGTGACCAAGGGCAGCGTGAATGTTGCTATTTTCTTATTCCCCTAATAGACTGACTGTCACTACCCTTCTGATCATGTTATTCAACTTGCCTGCATTACTGCATTTGTTTTTCCCAAAGTAGTCTCGCCTAAGCCCATTCCAAGTGGTCTAATAGTATTCACTGTTAATCTAACATTGGGCAACCAATTAAACATTGACAGACAAATCACTGTCCGTTTGCGAGAGCTGGAAATTAATATAGATAGCTTAAGAGAACAACTGTTCAAAATGCAACCATAAAGTCATTTAAAATGTCATGCATTATTTTAGTGCATCTGTGTAACTCCTTTACCTCACAAACATTTTCTCATAAAAAGGACTTAGGAGATTGCTTTAAAATCTCTTGACAGGTGTACGTGTGTGTGTGCATACCTATGATATGTCATCTTACACACTACATGTTGTAAGTCCATGTGATAGAAGGCCTTAAGAAATTCCATTCAATTTGGTTTATAAAACAAGAGCACACATACAAATTAATTTAAATATTCCCCTGGTTCATGTGACTTAAAATCATTGACCAATAACCTGGTTTCAATAATAAGTGAAGATCTTCATGATTTCTGACAATTTTTTTTTTTTTGAGAGGTTTTTTCACTACAGGGCGCGTGCGCTCGCCAGAGAGAGAGAGACAGAGAGATAGAAAGTGAGAAATCACCCCGGGGAGGGCATGGCCACGCCGCAATCCCTTCTCCTCTCCTCTCGGGATCTTGGGCACGCACGCACACGCACCCGGCGTGAGTTTTAAGCCACCAGGTCCAGGACGTGAACCACAGTTGACTACGTGGGAGTCCAGCGACATAGCCATTACGCTAACTGCTGGTTCCCAACACCCTGACAAATATTTTGTCCAAAGTTGTATTATTCAGGCAACATTGTGTTTAATTTATTATAGTCCGCTCAATGAAACAGCTAATAGTTATATGTTACATGGTATCTAAACAATAGGAAGATAACCGATAACAGGCAGATAGCACTTTCGAACGTAAATGCTCTCGACAGCCATTGCTAGAGTAGCTCATAGAAGCGCATTTCTGCATGCGTCTAAAGGTCCTGTGTTTTCTCAGATTGCCACTCTCTGCAAATAAACAACTAATCTGGTTTATAAACCATCATTAGTGGTCATGATTAGCAGATATCAACTCATGGAGTTTGACCCCTGATGACTTTTTTAACTATAAAAAGAAACGATGTTAGAAAATCGGTAAAAATGGGCACAATTCGGAATGCTATGATTGAACTAAAGAAAGCAGGTTTGTTTTGTTTTTTTGTTTTTTTTTTTGGAGAGGTTTTTGCTATAGGGTGTGTGCGCTCGCCAGAAAGACAGACAGACAGAAAGCAAGAAATCACCCCCTAGGTGGGATGGCCATGCTGCAATCCCTTCTCCTCCATTCTCCTCTCGGAATCTTGGGTATGCCACCAGGTTGGAGACTCGAACCGCGGTCGACTATATGGGAGTCCAGTGACATAGCCATTACACCAAATGCTGGTCCCAAGAAAGCCGTTTTCTTAGCAATACACAAAGATCAGATTCTGAATCATGATAAACCTGAAGAACCACCACCCTGTAAGACCTTTCCTGGATAATTAGACATTCTTCCTCTAATTAAAACCAGAATCTCAGAGTAATTTTAGACCAGAGGTTCTTTCATGGTTACCACTTAATCCCATAACCATGACTATGAGGGCTTGTAGGACAGGTTCTGTTAACGTTTATACAATAAACATAAACGGAATGTGTACTTAATACAACCTCTGTGCTTAAGGAGTTCAGAGTTCAAGAAGGCACGCCAGGCTGCCGCTGCTGCTGTGCATTGCGGTATGCTCAGCACCTTAGAATGGTGGCCTTTCAATACATACTAATTGAATGAATAACGCTCCATAAGGGCCTCTCTTTGTGAGATGAAGACTTTTGTTCAAATAGCTTTAATTCAAAAATGTGATCACGGGGCTGGCAAGTGGCATGGTGGTTAAAGGCGGTGCACTCCCACATGGCCGCCCACGGTTCAAGTCTCGGACCTGGTGGTTTGCTTTCTCACTTCCTCTCTCTCTCTCTCTCTCTCTCTGCCTCTCTCTGATCAAACTGGAAAATAACAATGATAATAATAAAGTTAAATAAAATAATTGTTAAAAAAATTGTGATCATAATACTTTTGCAGTGACCAACCAAAATCCTATCATGCTTGCTTGCTTTCCTTCTTTTTATTTTTAAGTTACCTAAAGAAATTCAGTACATCTCCCCAGTTACTTTTGCTTTCAAAGAACTGTTTATTTAATCATTCATTTATTTTAAATTGACCAGAGAGAGAGAGAGACAGAGAGAAAGTAAGAAAGCTAGCCACCAGATCCGGGACTCAAACCATGGTCAGCCATGTGTGTGTCCAGTGCCTCAACCACCATGTCACCTGCTGGCCCCCAGTTATTTCTTAGCCACCTTGATTGCAGGCCATATTTCAGCTTGCCCTACATACAGCAGCTGAGGAAGATCAACGATGATAGGCAGACCTATATTATAGGATAGGATGTGTTCTAGGACTTTCTTTTGGGTACTTCTGCCTTGCTATTTCATATGAAGTCTAGTTTGTGGATGACAACGGAAAAATGACTAAAGTTGGATTTACCATCTCTGTGGGTCCAAATGAACTGTCAACTGGAAGTTTCAATGAAATCCTCAATAATCTTTAATATGGAGGTTGGTAACTGTGTTCATGATATACTTGGCATGACAGAGCTGTCTTCCCATGGCATTTCCTATTGCTCCTTCCACGTAGCCTCTGTCTCTCTACTGTACTGTCAGGGAAATGGGAGCGTAAACTGGATACATCAACTTCAGTATCCTTTCAGTCCTGCGCAAAAAACAAATTCTAAAAGATGCTTGACTTGAAAAATAATCTTGGGGACCAGCAGTTAGTGTAATGGCTATGTCACTGGATTCCCACGTAGTCGACCTTGGTTCGCACCCCGGAGCCGGTGCGTGCGTGCCCAAGATCCCGAGAGGAGAACGGAGGAGAAGGGATTGCGGTGTGACCATTCCCCCTGGGGGGTGATTTCTCGCTTTCTGTCTCTCTGTCTCTGTCTGTCTGGCGAGCTCCCAAGCCCTATAGCAAAAACCTCTAAAAAAAATAATAATCTTGAATGAGTAAGGAAGTGTGCGCTCTGTACGTAAAGGGTATCAAATAAAGCTGAGGAAATGGCAAGAGCTGATCAGTTGTGGATTTTGCGTTTGGGAAACTACATCGAGTAACAGGGGGCGAAATGAGATCCTTTCAACCACGTCACCACTTACCTTAAACCAGACGCTAGGTCCTAACAAGCACATCTCAGAGCAGACAGTCAGGGCTTTCATTTCCAGAACCCCCCTGAAGAAACAGACCACACCACTGTTCTCCACTTCTTAGGGGATTTGAAGAAACTCAAAGACTCACTGTGCCTTTGAGGTCAGTCCGTGGACAGCTACTTCTGTGTGTCCATGCAGGGCTCCCTACCAGTGAACCCCTCCTCTGCATGGACAAGAATTCCCAACCCTCCTCCGTTACCTTCCTACATAGAGGACGTGCAATTTTTCAAGATCGAGGCCACAGGAAGGCCTTGGCTGACACTAAGGACAGTGATTACACGGTGCCATGGTTAACAATGGATTCCAGGGCAGCCCACGCAGACACCCCGCAGGCTTAGGATTTCACCCTCAAAGGGGCTTTCTGGTTCTGGTCCTCTTTGGTTTCTGAAGAAGGGCGGCCAGAGAAAAGCAGCAGACCCTTCAGGTGAGCAAACTCCAAAGACAAAAGACTACAGCTCGGTCCAAAGGAGGACCCTAACACGAGAACCGCTTCCTCGGCGGGCGTCTGGTTTTCTGCAGCGTCGGAGAAATCTTGTTTCAAGACAGAAAGCGGATCGAGAGAGAGGAGAGGCTCGGAGACCGAGTCTTGAATAGAAAGCCCAAGCTGTCCCATCCTCCGGGCAGCAGATCCGAAATGGGATTCCCGCCCTGAGCGCAAAAGAGGAGACCAGACCGGGGTCGCGAGACCGAAAGCCCGGGGCCGAGCGCGGGGCGCGAACGCACACCCCTCCCCGCCCCGCTCCGTGCACATCCCAGGACTCCCGGAGCATCCCGACGGCGCGGCGGGCCGGGCGGGAAGGGCGCTTACCCACTAACCGCTTACCGACTCCGAACGCGGGAGCAGCACCTTCCCCGGGCCGCGCCGCCCCTCCTGCCCCCGCGCCCCGCTCCGCCTGCTCGCCCCTCGCCGCACGTCCCTCCCTCGGGCCGCCGAGCGCCGCACCCCGAGTCCCGGGCTCGAGCCCGTATTTAAAGGCTTCTGCCGGAGAAGGCGGAGGCTTCATTCCCCCGCAGCCAGGCCCTCCCGGACTCTACCCACCAGGCCCAGGGGCGGGGCGGAGCTGGCTGAGGGTCCGCCCCCTGCCGGGCCCGGCGAATCAGCGCGCGCCAGCTCACGGCCCCGCCCCCGGTCGGCGCGTGCAGCGGGGGCGCCGCGCTGGTCCGGAAACGCAGCTGGTCGCCCTGGAAGCCGCGTCGTGTCGCGCGGCGCCGGGTTCCTTCCCTGCAGCTCCATCCGGCGGGGCAGGGGCCGAGTGCGTGTCGG